TCATAAGGTTTTCAGTGACTAAATATTTGGTGATAGTTTGTCAATCCTTCTTCCTAGTCTGTCTTCATCTGGAAGCTCATCTGAAACCTGTCCACCAGGGGTGACCCTTTTGGTATTTAAAATACCCGTGGCATAGCTTCCAGATCACAGCAACTCACAAAGCACCACAATACACCTAAGTTTCAGATGAGTGGTGGATGCCACACTGTTGTTATTGTTGTTATGTGCCGTGGAGTCGGTTCCGACTCATAGTGGCTCTGTACAGGGTTTCCAAGGCTGTAAATCTTTACGGGAGCAGAAGGCCTCATCTTTCTCCCACAGAACAGCTGGTAGTTTTGAACTGCTGACCTTGTGGTTTGCAGCCCAATTCGTAACCACCATGCTACCAGAGTTAGGATAGGTTAAATGAATGGTATGAAATACTATGAAGCCATTTTTTTATTTTAATGATGCAAGAATGACAATATGCTATAATAAGTAAGGTAGGCTTTGAAAGTTTAACCAGGCTGCATTTATATCCTGAATGATTCATTAATTCACTGTAGTATTAAGAGAAAAGAGACCCCATTTTCAAATATATAAATATCATGTTGTTGTTAAGTACCACAGAGTCAGTTGCAACTCATAATGACCCTGTAAAGGATTTCTTAGGAGCTGCTGGTGAGTTTCAACTGCTGACCTTGCAGTTCAAACGGATCTTGCAGTCCAGTGTTGTGTCCTACAGCATCACACCAGGACTGGAGACCTTTATTAAATCTTAAACAGGAATAAACACAAGACAAATAGATCACCTGGACTAGGGAAATCATAGGCACCACATGATGAGTTTCCAAAGTTCCATCTTCATGTTGTGACCTTTTATAGGGCACAGAGAACAAAGGAATCTCCTCCCAAAACCACACATCCCATCTATCACATAAGCATGCTGGGAGGAGACTATTGTAGATAGGAAAGCTCACATCTCTGAGGATTTCAAGATATGACATCACGATCAGGCAGCCATTAAGAGATCAATCCAGGAATATTCCTGCAAGGCTGGGAAAATTGGCCCCAAGCCCTCTTTCAAATATTCTCTGTTTCTAACTCTGACAGTTCAGCTTTCAAAAGTGCACGAGGTAATCAAAAAAAAAACACTGGCATCTGAACACTTAAACCCATTCATAGATACTTCATGTGACAGAGTAGAACTGCCTCATAAGCTTTTTAAGTTGTACTCTTACTTGAGCAGATTACCAGGATTAGGGCAATCAGCTAGCCATTTTGTGGGTTTAAATTATTTACCTTTAGGTTAGTAGCTGAGAGCTTAACCAATATGCCGCGAGGGCACCTTAATGACAAATCACTCCATAAACCTCTGTCTGAAGGCACTTGGCTCTAACTTCATGAGTCAGGAAACCCAGCTCCCCTAATTAAGTGCCTGGAAGAACCTCATTCTGCAAGCAAGTCTCCTGCCCAAAGTCCCTCAGCTTTACTTGCTCCATGCTCTGGGAAGCCCACTGCTCTGTCTCCTGCTCTGGTTCTTGGCTCTGTTGCTGCTGCTCCTCTGTCCCTCCTCCAGGGTCACAGCCTTCTGTCCCTGGGTCAAGAAGGTCCAGTGATTAGAGATCTCAGTATCTTAAGGGCATGTTCCTCATGTGTCCTCTTCCTTGATGGTAGTTAAGATCCTCCTGCCTGCTTCTGAGAGGGCTCATTCTATACCCATGCTAGAGTTCCAAGTTTTTACTATGACAATGAACGCTGCTACCATCCACAGCCAAATCATGCCACCCTATCAGAATCTTCTTCCACCTTCTCTTACCCAGATCCAGTAGGGCAGAGATGTTGTTTGCTGGGAGTTATAGACTATGGCCAGAAGAGATGTTAGATAATTTACTATTCCATAACAACCCTACAGGACACAGTGGAACTGCTCCTGATGATTTCCAGAGACTAAATCTCTACAGAAGCAGAGACTTGTCTTTGTCCTGTAGAGCCCCTGATGGGTTTAAACTGCTGACCTTGCAGTTAGCAAGCACAACATTTAACCCACTCTGCCACCAGGACCCCTTTATGAAGATTGCTGTTGTTGTTTTGTGTCATTGAGCCAGTTCTGTTTCACAGAAACCCTATAGAGGGTTTACGAGGAACAGCTTGTGAGTTTGAATTGCTGACTTGTTAGCAGTCCAGTGCATATTCTATGGCATCAGAACAGGACCCTATAAAGATTACAGGGTAGAAAAACCTAATGGGACAGTTCTATTCTGGCAGTTGGGACCCCTTATGAGTTGGAATCAAGTTGATAACACCTATTAACAACACTAACCTAAAGATTTAGTGATTTGAACACACTCAGCAACTCTGAGGAAGAAAAACTTCATGCTCCCTAAAAATCACAGTGTAGAAAGCCTTATGGGGGCAGCTCTACTCTGCCACATCTGTGGCCATAAGTTGAAATTGACTGGACACCAACTCTTAGTGACTGCAGGCACCGCAGAACTAAACACTGCCCAGTCCTGAGCCAACCTCAAAATTGTTGCTACATTTTAGCTCATTGCTGCTGCCACTGTGCCAATCCATCTCATTGGGGGTCTCCCTTTTTTTCTCCGCCCCTCCATTTTACCAACATGATATCCTTATCCAGGGACTGGTCCCTCTTGATAATATGTCCAAAGTATGAGAGACAAAGTCTGGCCATCTTGGCTTCCAGGGAGCACTCTGGATGTACTTCTTCCAATACAGATTTGGCCTTGAGCACAGTGCCTTGAGCTTTATAATCAGACCTGTCATCCCCACCCCTCTGCCTCAGGCTTGGGACCAGGCATACTAAAGGCACCCAGGACACTTTCATGGGAAGAAAGAAAGGGGGAGGGGAGGAGGGCAAGGCTGCACCTGTGGTCTTTGAGCGTGGAAATTTCCGTGTTGACACTGGAGAGCTTCTGCCTGAGGATCCACAACGTCAAGGTCAGAAGGATGGTGTTGATCTATAGAGATGAGCAGAGGAGAGCAGCACAGATCAGAATGCAGGCAGAGGGGTTAGGGCACAGATAATGAATTTAAGTGTACAGTGTGAGTCCCTGGGTGAACACTTTCAGGTGTTAACTGAAAGCCTTGAGGTCCAAATCCATCCAGAGGCCTTAGAAAAAAAGACTTGGTGATCTGCTTCCAAAACTCTGAAAACCTCATGGAGTCCAGTTTGCCTCTGACACATTATGGGGTTGCCGTGAGTCAGGAATGGCTTGATGACAAGTTGTGGTATAGTGAAATACTTTAGATGACCCTTCTAACTATGGTCTTGTGATTCGCACAGAATGATGGGTTATTGTTGTCTGGAGCTGTCAAGTCGGTTCCTACTCATGATCCCATGCCCAATAGAATGAAACACTGCCTGACCCTGCACCAGGCTCCCAATTATTGTTGTTTGAGCCTTTGCTACTGCCACTGTGTCAGTCCATCTCATTGGGGGTCTTCCTCTTTTTTTTTGATGACTCTCCACTTTATCAAGCATGATGTCCTCCTTCAGGGACATCTTGTTCAACGAATGACAGCAAAGTCTTGCCATCCTCACTTCCAAGGAACACTCTGGCTGTACTTCTTCCAACACAGATTTATTCTTCTTGCAGTCCGTGATGCTTCCAATATTCTTCATCAACACCATAACTCAAACACATCATTTCTTCTATGTTTTTACTTATTCACTGTCCAACTTTCACATGTATCCAAGGTTATTGAAAATACCATGACTTGGGTCAGGTGCACCGTAGTCCTCAAACTGACATCTCTGTTCTTGAACACTTTTAAGAGGTCTTGTGCAGCAGAGTTGTCTAAGGCAATATGTGGTCTGATTTCTTGACTGCTGCTTCTACGACTGTTGATAGTGGATCCAAAATCCAAGCAAAATCCAAGCAAAATGAAGTATTTGATACCTTCAATCTTATCTCCACTTATTGGTCCAATGGATCATTTCCAGGGTTGATGCTCTCTTAGGTCCTGCCAGGTGTTGAATAGCATCTCTGGCCTCTACCCAACCCCCTCCAGTTGTGACAACAAAAATGTCTTTGAATCATGTTAAGTCTGCCCTTGTTGTCAAATCAGCCTTATTAAATACCACTGCCCAGGGGTATGCAATTGTTTATTTTCCAAATTAGTAAAAGTTTTTAGGAGATTTGCAGATGGGCATGTTAAATAGTATGTAATTGTTATTATTTTCATGATCACTCATGTTGTTGTTTCTGTCAGCTTCTGTCAAGTCAGCCCCTGACTCACAGAGACCCCATCCACAATGCCTAGTCCTGCATCATGGTTGTATATCAAACCATATGATCCACAGGGTCCTCAGTGGCTAATATTCAGAAATAACTCCCTAGGTCTTTCTCTCTAGTCCATCTTAATTTAAAAAACTCTACTGAAACCTGTTCAGCATCACAGAGACCCTCAAGTTTCCTCTGACAGCTGGTGGTGTTTGTGCCGGAGGTGTACTAGCCGGGAATTGAACCCGGGTTTCCTTCATGGAGGTGAGAATCCTACCATGGAACCACCACTGCCCTTGTTATTGTTGCCATCCAGTTTATTCCAACTCATGGTGACTCCAAATGTGCAGAGTAGATCCCATTGGGCTTTCAAGATTATGATCTTTAGAAACCAGGTCTTTATTATGAGGGGCCTTTGGGAGGCTTCCTGGCAGTGATGAGGACTTGCATCACTCTGGAACTTCTGAATCATTTGTCATTCGGTTCTTGCTGCTGGCACCATGGAGTCTATTCTGACCCTCAGTGACCCCTACGACAGAATGCAACTTCCCCGTAGAGTTTCCTAAGTTGTTATCTTTACGGAACCAGATCACCAGAGCTATTCTCGTGCAGAGCCACTGGATGAGTTCAAACCATCAGCCTTTCAGTTAGCAACCTAGTCTTCACCATTGCCACCCAACTTTTATTGAGCACCGGCTACAATAAAAAACTACATGGCTTGGTCCCCACCACCACCAACACAAAGGGGGACTTGACAAAGAAGACTTGGCATTTGGGGAAGCAGGAAGCTCATGAGTATAGCAGAAGTATGCGGGCAAAGGATAGAAGTGGGACTTAGGGAAGCTAGCAGGGCCATAGAGTGAAGGACCTTGGATTCCAACCTAAGAGTGCTGTCATGAGAGCAATGGAGAAACCAAGAAGAGGGGCACAAAGGACAGTTTTGAGTATTAGGAATTTCATTCTGAAAAACCCTCTCCCTCCAAAACACCCAAACTTCTGAGTGAACCCCAACAGACACCCGCTTAAATTGACAGCTAAGCTTATAAGAAAGTAAAGGAAAATCCCAGAAGGCAGAAATAACAGTGTTATAATGCCTGGAGAAGGTCATCATGTAAAGCAGAAGGTCAGTAAAAAAGAGGAAGACCTTCAACAAGATGGATTGACACAGTGGCGGCAACCAGGGGCTCAAACAGAGCAGCACTATGAGGCAGTGTTGTGTTCTGTTGTGCATGGGGTTGATATGAGCTGGAACTTACTGGACAACACCTAACAAAACTAATGAAACCAGAGTCAGGAGCTAGAACTCTCTAGACTGGGGCAGCAGTTTCTGAAACCAGACATTTAAGTCTTGGGGATTTTATGGTCACTCATAAGCAAATAATCCAAGAAGCTGGCTTATATGAAGAAAACTGTGGCATCAGGATTAGAGGAAGACTCATTAACAACCTGCGATATGCAGATGATACAACCT